ACATATAGCATGAAAGGTCTTTGGAAAGCAACAAACCAACAGGCATTGATATACTTTAAAGTGTTTTCAGGGTGAACCTGGATAAGATAACAGTACAAGTTTTAAAAATAATCCATTTTGTCCATGCACAGTCTCTGCTGTCAGTTTTGATAGCCAAGACAGCCTGTGCATGTGTGAATCATTGGCCTTTGTTATTACACAGCAGAAGGGCTTCCGTACACCTGAGCTCTGTGATGATTCAGCGAGAGGGTATCAGGAAGTACCCATTCAGTAAGCATCCTTCACTTCTTCCGGGCCTGGTAAATCCCAGCAGAGGGTGTGTTTGCTGGAGCTGATGATCACACTTCGCTTTCTCATGATATGACGCTTTATGCCTCCTTCCCCTCCGTGAAAGCACGTGTATGTGTCAGGATCTTTTTCAAGTTGCTCCAAGCATCCCCATAAATACCCTGCCAGGAAGAGAGTGGCTATTACATCCTGTCTTCAAAGCTATTTTCTGTGGAAAGCGACTGAAATAAACAGTCTTTTACCTATTCATCTCACAGTCCCATTACAGTCAAGTGTTCCCAGCCAGCCATTGTAAAGCTATTTTCAGAAAGGAGGATTCTCGCAAGCATCAATAATAACAAGTTCCATGTTTAGTCAGTAAGTTAAACAAACATGGAAGGCAATCTTACGTGATATTTTAGAGTCAGTAATGAAATTCTCAGCTTAGTGCATAGTAAGATATTTGAAGACAAGGATGTATCAGGTTTGTACCTGTTCCTGGAAGGCATCTCTGGAACTGTAATTTTCAAAGAGAGATCCATTAGATCTTTCGTAGAACGTAAGTCATAAGGTTTGTCTTTGCTTTCCATCTGAAGCATAGTCTGCAGTCTTAACTTCTTTTTACCCATTATACACATGAAAGTGTAATTATTACATAGAAAGTGTAATTATAAACTTACTGGGGAGCTCAGGTTCTGATGGCTTCTCTTGTCCTTTACCCTGATATCCTTATTGCTGGGTACAAATACCTGTTAAAAGCTGATCTGTTTATATAACCTGCCCTGGAAGTTGGAACCTTGTGTAATTAGGATTCCAGCTCATGGGGGTGGGGGCAGGTCAGGTAACATACTTGCCTAAGTTTCTGCAGCAGAGATATGGGCCACATCTCAGCCATGGATATCGATGATAGGAGAAGCTGCATGACTGAATAAGTGATGCCACATTGCTCCCTGGTAATAATGGAAGATACATCATGTGTATAGTAGGTAAGTCAAAGGGTCTTAATTTGAACCTCATTGATTTTATTACTATGATGGGAACTGGAATTCATCCTCTAGGAACTCAAGTAAAAGGTGCCCCACATTATCTGCATCATTTCTGAAAGACATGCTGGGAAAAGAAGAGACTAAATGAGCTTTCCATTTAGTATTGCTGGATGTCTATGGCCTCAGTCATCTGCAGTTCCAAAATCAAAACATACTCTAGTAATGTGCCAGGTCAAGTGACATTGCAAGGATCTACCCCTTGATTTCATGAATAACCTTTTCTTAAAATTAGGACAGTGCAATAACTACTTACCATGTCAGATCTTCAACCCCAACAATAATACTGTTTTCTTTCTGTGTAAGGGTTAGTCCTTCCCAACTTGAATATGTATCATAAAAATAGAGATCTATTTTAACACTTTATTAATGGGGAAACATGGATAAATAGTTATAATTGCTTTTAAAATCAGAATGGGATGAAATCTGCAAAAAAGAACATTATTAGGGGATGAAGGAAGTAAAATTTGCTTGACATTAGTGCGTGGGCCTTTGAGCGATGTATACAGTTCATTGTAACCTTTTCTTTTTTCTCTCCCTCCCCATTCTCCCCGGAATTAAATTTGAAAGCTATGTTGATGTTAAGTAATGAAGCATATGAATGTCAATATTCATACATATTGGTGCAAGTATTCTTTTAAATTATTCTTTAAAATGTGTTTAAAAAGTATGGATATTGTGATGATGTTACAAGCAGATAGGTTGAAGGCTTCATATAGAGAGGGAGAAGTTGGGGGCAAGAAATAATGAGGCCCTTTCCTGAATTTGGTGAAGCTGGCTGTTGGGATGTATAAGATATTAATGCACTGATCTTTTCTTTAAAAGCAACTGTAGTTCTTAAGCCAATGATTAATGATTCTCTCTCAAAATGGATTGGACAAGCAACAGTAATCTAGTTGCAAGGATTACTCTAATTTGAAGGCAGAACCGTCAGTAGTTAGTTCCAATGAGTTTTACAACAACAAGCATCCAAAATCACTTTTGAGCATATAATGCCGCTTTCAAGGTCTGTATTAGAGGCGGAGCTTAATAAAGAATTGTGAACTGAGGCCAAGTTAATTACAACAATCCATCCTGCTGCAAATTGAAATTCCCTGAATCTATTCTAGGTTTTGGGTTTGCATAGAATAGCTCTTGTTTTCATTCTTAAAGTTTGGGAATATTGTCTCTATTGGAGTAAGTAGGACACCTCAGAAATCTTGCATCTGTTATCAGTAATGATAAAGTAATTCATATCTATAGATGTTTTACCAGAAACTGCTCTGTTCGTTTTTTATAAAATGTAAAGCAATCTGGTGCTTATACTGTACCAGTTTCTCAATTCTTGACACCGTTTATACTGGCTTGGCTGATACAGTGTAAAACACACGGAGGATAGCAAAATACCAAAATTGCTCATTTTCTTTCACCTTCACAAATATTAGCAGGTATCAGTAGCACTTGATTTGTTGTTGTCTTTAGCTAGAATTTGTCACAGCTGTTAATGTTGGTTCTTCAGACACTTAACCCCTTATTCAGGATTTGGCTTATTCCAAGAAGGCTCAGAGGTACAATTTGGCAAGATAATAGTCTTGTTATTGCAGGACAGATTGAAGCCATACACTGCAGTACACAGAAGTCAAAGCCTTAATATATGTCTGCTATAGGGTTTAAATTCTAGGCTTTTTCCATGTTTTTTTTCTCAATCAATGGATATGTGGCTATTCTGATGGCCTTGGGAAGCACCTGATCTATGTTAACATAGCATTTCTTTCTAGCCTCAGAATAGCTGGTTCCTCCTCCTTCAGCTTCATTCTTTATTGAACTTCCCTTTTGATTTAGCAAAACTGTTCCCCCCCCATCATAACTATTATTGGCTGAGGGGAGGGGGCTAATTCACTTCTGTAGTTAAAGTCTTATACCATATAAATGTATCATATTTGAATTATGAAGAGTCATGCAGTGGAAGGTATCCAGTAAAGTAGGGTATGCATTTAAAGCCAGAACGTATGACAAACTATAAGGATGCCCTTATTTTCTGAATTACATTTTTGCAATGTAAAAAAAAAAAAATCCAATTCCAAAAAATTTAGCCAATAAATTCAGGAAAATGAGATTCTGGTTACCATATTGAAAAATTTAGACAAACCAGATTTTTTTTTCAGCATTATTTGTTCACACATAGATGAATGAATAGCATTTTTGGTTTTTTAAAAATGTTTGACATTTGTTTGTTAAAGTACCAAATAACTGGCATAATTTCTCTTTTACTTTTTAAAGCTATTTTTGGTCAAACATGAAGACTCGTAAAACTACACAATAAAACATTCGCTAAGTACATAAAGCAGAAGCCAAGCTTTATTAGAAATTTCCACATTATATTATTTATAGCATAAAAACATAAGGATGATATTATCATGAAAGCATCCATTAAAAAAAAAAAAGGAATAGCAACCATTTTTTTATAAGTTTTGCTATGCTGTGGATTATATTGACCTCTAGTGAAATGCCAGTTTTGTAAGCAGCATTGAATCCCTTTTTTTTAATCAATGTAATTTTCAGAAGGTTCAGACAGTTGCCACTATGAAGTCAGACGGAGCTTTTAAAAAGTCCCCCCCCCCTTTCCCCTCATGCAGTAAACAAAATTAGAATTTGTGAGTAGCTTATATAATGTTACCTGGGGAGCAAAAGATCTTCTTTTAAAGTTTGATGTCTCCAACACAAAGCCAAATGAGTATGGTAAATCATATTTAATTTATATAGATATGATGTACATCACTGGATCCTTTTAAAGTTATCTTTAGCTTTTTCTATATGAGATTATATGAATCTTATTCTTGAATTTGTAAACTCAAAGGTATAGACCATTTCTCCTTAAAGGAGCTACATTTATTCCATTTCCTTGTACTTCAGCCAGAAATAAATTAGGTTCTACGGGTGGAATTTAATTTCAGTCATATAATTCTGCCTGGCTCCTGCACCTGTGAGATGTGGTGACGGCATATATGCTTTTGATGCTTCACAATTATGGTCAGAGGGGGTATGCATCAGAACTCAGGTTTATTGTGCTGTTGAACTTGTGCAAAATAGTATGATTGCTTTTTAAAAATGTTTATAGCACAGTGTTGGTATGTTAAAAACTGTGAGGCCTTTTCATCCCCAGACTTCATTTGAGGATTTTCTGGTCTCAGTGAAATATAACCATATTCAGATGCAAAATGGAGAATGTCACAAACGATGTTTGTTCCTCATATGGGATTGCTGCAGTCAGTTATTTCATTGACACATTTAAATATATTGCCCTCTTTTGAATCCCAGAATGACTGATAACAGAAAAATAGAGATAAAATTCAGGATTGAAACCATGATAAAACCAACAGATGATATTAGTTTAGCAATTGGCTCCATTTTTTCACTGTTGTAAAGTGTGGTGCTTGATGCATCCAAGTGTACAAAGTAACCCAAAGATGTTTGGTCTTTAGTTCCACAAAGATGAGATCCAAAATATTTTTCAAGAACATTACAAAACAACCTTGATTCCATTAATTGAATTTATTTATATTGTTGATGACAAATTAGTTTGGTTTTGAGCATAATCTCTATCCATCCTGCTTTACAGAGACCTCTCTGTAGCTTTTGTTGCGTTTGGCTATTTGACTGTTGCTTATGTGGAAAATAAAATAAGTATATGCCTTTCTTTTTCTTTCAAAGCTTAAAGAAGAATTCCACAGAAAGACCTACATACCCTGAGCTAATGGTGAGTTTATCTTGCTGAATTCAGGTATAAGATAAGTTTCACTCACGCACTCACGTTGAATTAACATGAGGGGACACATATGGTAGCGCCATCCCCATATTTCTGTATGTGGCCAACTCTGCCTTCAACCTTTACATAGTCAATAGGGATGTCAGTGGTGGAGCCGGTGCCCGTAGGGTTCCATGTCTGAGCTTGCCACTGGCCCTCCTAGTTGTTTGCCCATACACATTCATCTGAATGCAGAACACCCAGTCGCAATTCTGAAATCACTGAAGGTACTCAATTGAAAGAGAGAGAGAGAGAGATTTCCCCTTCTAATACTAGGGTTATTTGAAGTTTCATGAATTAACATCAGGGATGGATGAGTCAGTAGGTTTCTAATCCAAGTAATTTTTGCTTCTGTTTGTCCATTAATTGAATTGTATTTCTGTGTTAGAGTATTTTTTTAAAACAGCATGAAAACTCGTATTTAAACATACACATTTTAAGTGTTTTTAATACAGATCATCAGATGGAAAATTGGAGGGTAACTAGAGCATGGAGTGGGCTCATTTCTTTATATGAGCTCTGCTTTTTACTATTGCCACAGTTCTGTTTGTATACTGGGGTCTCTGTTTTTTTTTTTTTTTTTTTTGGTAGCTTATCATAGCTCATCAAGGATTTCCAGTAGATTTATTATAGTTAATGTTCTTTAAAAGAGAGATGTGAACTTGTATTTAAGCAAAAAACAAAAACAGCCCAGCCTTTCACTGTTTTGCCAGTGAACCTGTTTGGTTTGTTGTTGTTTTAACTCCAGTGTTTCACTGATCCAGGAAACCACAATAAAATGCCTAGGGAGGGCAGCAACCACAGTGCTCAGTAGCCAGTTTGAGTGGAGGACTTTGCTTATAATGAAAGTATAGCAGGCAAAGTGGGGAACGCTGTGTGAGCCAGCACAAGTCAGGAAATGCTACTTTGGATTTGGAGCAGGAAACAATGGGTGGAGGTTGCAGTCTCAGTAGGCTAAGGGCAGTAGAGAAGCAGTTGTGTGTTTCTACCCCCAAGAAACAATGGTCTGTACTTGCACTGGGGCAACCGTGGCAGACTAGGCACCCAGTCATAGTGCTCAAGAATAAAAGTAGTTTATGGGAAGCCTGCAAGCAGGACATGAGGGGAATAAAGCTGTGTTGTTCTGCATGGTAGTCAGGAAGTGTCTCCCCCGCAATATAATCTCAGGAGGAATATAAGGATTTTTAATGGGAACTTCTGTCACCTCCCACTCATCACTTTCTTTTCTTTCTTTTCTTTTTAGCAACACCACTTCTTTACCTTTCATGAATCCAAAGAAACAGATGTGGCTTCTTTTGTCAAACTCATCCTGGAAAACTGAAAAATGGACTTGTACATTATTTTACCCTTTGATGGACTGGTGGGATTTAGGAGAAGGGGGTCATGATGGGGCAGCCTTCATCACAGGAAAGCCAGGAGGAGAACTTACCAGTGGCCATTTTCCCTTTATTTTTTGTAAAATCCTAATCTCCTCCCCATGAAGGCTTTTTTAAAGGGTTCTTTGGTATTCATAGTGACATAGAATGAACTGATTAGTGAAATGAATTTTAATAAGATTGTCAACCATAAACAAAAAAATGCAGAAACAATGAGTGATTTAAATGATGATATTTTAGGGCTCTCTAACCATCTTCTCAACTAGCCATACTTAATTTTCTGTCAAATCAGATTTCTTTTGTTTATGGTAATAGGTGCTACGGTAGTTATGAAGTTCGATATAGAGTTATATTTTGTCCTTACTATTATTTTAATATTTATGTTAAGCGCTTGATTTTTAATAGAATCTTTGTTTTTATGTGAGACAGTGGACAATAATGACAGCTAAAACAGTGAAGTTACAGAAAAGAGTATTTATAGTGCTTTGCTAGGAAAAGGAATAGGAGAAGGCATGGTCCATGTATGACATGGGTGACTAATTTAAGTTCAAATAAGAGTTTGGTTTATATGTTACCTCAGCAATGTATGAGGAAGTCTACATCATTCCCTAGGATTTGTCTGAAGATTGTTTTGGCAAGAACATCAGGAGGATGCAAAAAAATGGTTGGATGAAATTATTCCAGTTGGTTTGGTTTAAAACTGCAATCTCTATTATACCCTTAAGATTAAGATTCTATCCCAGTATCAGGATCTGTGGGATTAACAGTGGGGTTGATGTATTTAAAAGTTAGTGGAAAATCAAAAGCAGGTTTAGACATTTGATTGTTGCTTAACTAATGATGAATCACTAGGTCATGGCCAACCAAGGAAGAAACCTGTCCATGTTGGCTTTGTGCATTTGAATGAAAAAGAGACTTCATAAAGAAGAATGGAACTGGCGAGGCATAGAGACATGGGTTGCAGAAAGGGGAAAAATCAAGACATGAATGAAGGTTGGTTTTGCTAGTTTTAGATTGTTCCGAGTACACTGAGCTTGCTTTGGACACCCAGATGTCCCATAGTTGTCTTTTTTCCCATCTCCTGCCCATGTAACTTTTTTTTTCCTTACCGAAAGCTTACCTGAACAAGACCTGTCTATATGTCTGTCTGAAAAAAGATAGAATAGGAATTACTTAATAAGCATTGTATCCCTCCTCTAATATGAACAACAGTAACAGCAAAAACACACTGGCAGGGCTAAAAATACTTGATTTTTCATTCAGGTTTGGTTGCAACTGATTCTGTTTTGACCTACTTTAGTCAAAACCATATTGCAATGACAATTTGGGTGTCTCTCTTACTTAATGATACACTATTTTTTGCTTAGGTTGTTTCATAAATAAGCCTGGGTCTTATCTGATGAAAATAACTGCAGTTCTGCTATGATTTCTATAGCAACTTTTTGTTCAAGAAGCACTTCTGTTTCCTCCATGTGAACCCTAACAATATTAATTCTCCCCAATGGTTCAGGTGGTGTTTTGTCCAAGGTTGATGTTTGTGCACTCCAAATTGAGGTTGTAGCTATAGTAGGAATGCAGCCTACTATATCTGGTATCTTCCAGGTGTGTTGGCCAATATGTAGTCAATATTTCACACATCTGGAGAGCACCAAATTGGGGAAGGCCAGTACAGACCGTTAGTATTGATAAGGTGTTTTTTTTGTCAAAGACATTTCCATCCTATTTTCCAGCAGTCCATATTTTACAACGTAACAGATCCTTTTTGCAGAAGTCTATTGGAAGTGATTCAAAAGATGTTTAACTGCAGAGAAAACACTAAAAGGCTTCCATTTCATTGTGTTCTTTAAAAGCATGGAATGGTTTGTAACCATTTTACATGTTTGGTTACCTTCTTCCCCCATAGTTGATTCTCAGCTACTTTGATTGATTGTCTTCAGCTGCAGCTAAAGCTTAGCCAGCCAGTTTTTAGAACTAGTTCCAGCATCAATTCTCACTTTGAAAAACATGTCATTTAAAACCCATTGTTGGGTTTTCCTCTAGATGGATCTGATGCTTGCCATAGAGATTGTTTTGCTGCTTTTTTTTTTCTTGGAATAATGAAATTCCATTGGATACTATATCCTCTTGACCTCAGAACACCTTTATCTGAGTGCTGTGGTAATAGGCAGGTTGGATTCATGAGATCAAATTGGGCTTAATAGGCAATATTAATATTCCCATTGGTTTCCACTAGTTGGAGCATGCCAGTGATGTCTACAGTAAGTCAGACTGGAAAGATTAACACTACACGCCTCATGCTTTGTTTTAGGAATTAGAATGTGGTGTTTGTGAGATCTTTTGTCAGGTCTGTCCAAATAAAATTCATCTCTTGGCAGGTACATGAGCCCTAACACAGTTATAGAATAAAATGTGCCTAACATCTGTATTTTCTATTCAAAATTTAAAGCTTGGTTGTCTTTGTTATTTAAAAGTTCTCATATCATATTAGCAAATATAATTTCCCTAAAAGTTTCACAGCAATTGAAATGCAGTCCAAATTCATGTCCATTTTCTAAAGGATGACAGGTAAAAATGGGGGAGAAAAATAACTGACCAGCTAGTCTACTGAAAACAGGGTAAGAAGTAATGGGCTTAAATTACAGAAAAGAAGACATCGTCCATTCACGTGTGTGTATGCATGTACGTACATACATACATACATACACACACAATACATACAGACACACACAAACTTGCACATATACTTCCAGAGTGTTCTGAAATAGATCATCCTGCCTAAAGTTGTTACAGAACCTTCATTTTTATAGGCTATCGTAAGTAAATAAACTGGCACAGGTACCCATTATGTGTTTTATACAGAAAAATTGTCCCTTCTGCTGATAGTTTCAAGCCTTTAAATATTTGAAACTGATTCTGGGTTCAACAGGACTACATTAGTTCAACTCAGCTATTCCAGTAAATGTTACAGATCTTGGATCCATGGCTGCTGTGACTGATTTTTAATTTCAATGTTCTGAGCTGTCTTAGGTTTGTTAAATTACTTTAGAATAATTATTTTTTAATGGTATGTGGATTTGGGGCATGGGTGTATACAAACTGGTGATCTCCTGTTTTTTTTTCCTCTGTAAAACAGTGCTGAATAATTTGCCGTACATGGCGTACACTCTAGAAATGAATATATTAATGTTTAAATCATCTAATTTCTAAGCAAGAAGTAGCTGGCAGAGACTGATGCATGGAGCAAAATCCTATTATTAACACCGGAACATTTTGCCATGCATGATAGCAAGCTAATAAACACTGCATTGGACATTCACAATAATGCTGTGTGTCCCACTTTGAGTTGTGTATCCTAGAAGCTTGTGAAGCAGTAATATTGTCCATTTTGAGTGCTGCTTGGAACTGTGAAGGAAAAGGGGTAATGTTGAGGCATGTATACACACACACTGTGTTGCCCTCTTTCTTATTTGAACTAAGAGGTAATTGTTGAATTCTTCTCTACAGGGTATTGCTTTTGTCATCTCATGCCACACTACTTGATGATTTCCTACTTTCAGATGTAGACCATGATAGCAAAACTCTTTCCTCCATTAAAAACAAACAAATCACAGTTCTTTCCAGCCTCTTAATTACTTTGGGGTTCCTTTTTTCTGAATGCTCTGAATTCTTCCACTGAGGTTCCTCATCACACACATCTTGTTAGGGAAGCAACCAGTGAATTAAGACAACCTGGTGTGCATTTATTTAGGGAATGAAGGAAATATTTTCATGGATTCTGATTTTCATACAGTCTCCAGGCAAACCTCAGAAAAGGCCTTAGAAATTATGTTTGTGTGATTTTTTCCCCCCTTATAATGTGGAAAGTGTTTTGTTTTCCTTTGTTTTAAAGGAACATTTCTTCAACTAGAAAATCTATCTTTCCACTGTAGGAAATAATATGGGGATGAGTTATAGCACTTTGTGTTTTAAACATTGACTAATACTTATTGGTTGATGTTTTCTTTTCAAAATAGGAAAATTAAATACCCATTCTTATGTCACAAAACTATTTTTTTATGTCATAAAACACTGCCTAATTAATAACAGCTCCTGGAGTTAACAGTCTAAAAATAAGAGATAGAATAGATCCATTGAAGTCAGTGAAGCTTCATATAATTATGAGTAACTAAACTCATGATTCAGTGTGACTAAAGCGGATTCTTTTAATTGATAGCGACTTCCTTTTTAAGCTAAAATCTGATTCTCAAATAATACAGTATTTCCTGAACTATAACATTTACTGTTGTCAATGCACACATAAATCTAGTTACTGTTATGTGCGTTTATGTTCTGGTCCACATATTCTGCACCTCAGTTTGAATCTATTGACGTGCAAGTCACTGACTTTTTCTATATCAGTGGATTATGATGTCCAACCATAATTTTAAGGCCTTTTAGACAACAACAGATCTTGGCTAGTTTGCTGTTCACTTTTTGGGGGTTTTAGAGCCTGTAAATTCGCTGCATTTTCCCAAACAGTGGTTTCTTGATGGACTTGACAGATATGCTGAAATAGTGCATCTGATACAATTGACTAATCTACAGGTTGCATTTTCTTTCCTAATTGTGTTTGAATTGAAAATGCATCGTATATAAATTTGTGCAATTGATATGCATGCTTCTTAGCTCAGGGCATCTGGTGTGTGAGATACTCCAAATTGACACAGGAAATGGAAAGTTTCGTAGAAGAACTCCCAAGCAAAGTTTTTAGAAATACCTCCATGTAGCATCACACTCCCTTATAGAATGAAAGTCCAGGATCTATTCTTTATGGCATTCTTCGTTGTATACAATAAGGTATTGCTGAGTTATATGGGATAGTTTTCTCCATAGCTCTGTAAAACCAAAAGGCTAGACTCCAGTCAGTAGCATAGACAGTGGCATCATTACATAAAGAATTTTTAATAACCTCCTGGCTTTGTTGCAAGGACACGTAATTAAGAAGGAAAACATAACCATCACCATCCTTGAGTATCATTTTTTTCTAGTAAATACACAATGGCAATATTTAGTTACAGTAAGTTGGGATTTGATATATTCTGGTTTAGTAATAAAAGAGTAGTGTGATAGCATCACAGTTCCTAGTTTTTAACTCTGGCTCGCAAAGGGGCAGGTAGAGTTGGATTTCTCACATAATAGTGGACAGAGCCGATACTGGGAGGAAGAGTCTACCAAGGAAAATCAATCTGTATACACCATTTGTTAATTCTAAAATTTGAAACCTGAAAATGCAACTTGTCTATGAGCTTTTTGAGGAATGTAACAATTTTGTTTTCTGTGAATGTTATGTTTCTATTGCATGGGAGGAATTTTGTTTCCTACTTGACTTGATGGAGCTTTCCCCACTCCTCCTTGACTTGATAGAGCTTTGTAAGTGGCTGAACACAATATCTATTCTATTAAATTGAACAAAATAATTAATCTAAAAGCCAATTTGGTGTAGTGGTTAAGGCACCACGCTAGAAACCAGAACCTGGGAGTTCAAGTCTTGCCTTAGGCACAAAGTCAGCTGGGTACTTTGGGGCAGTCTCTCTCTCTCTCTCAGCCTTAGGAAGAAGGCAATGGCAAGCCACTTCTGAAAAACCTTGCCAAGAAAACTGCAGGGTCTTGTCTAGGCCATCATCAGGAGTCAACACTTGAAGGCACACACACACGAACACAAATCATCTAAAAAGTACCCACATAGATTCAGAGAGTACTTCATCCTTGGGTTTTCTCTAGTCTGTCTACTAGCCTTTGAATAATTTCCTATTAACATGTTAGACCATCTCCTCCCTATCCATCCTTGCCTGACAGTGCTTCAGGCATCTGCCTTAGAGTTTGCAATGTCCCTCTATATGTTTCTTCCAGACACGATTCCCAAGGATTGAGAGAAGAGAGAAAGTCAGCTTTGTCACCTAATTACTTCCTTATTTTATTTCCAAGCATTCTCTAATTATAATAGATGTGCATTTCTTGAAGCAATTGCCTCTAAATATTGATATGGTGTAGATTTTACCACCCACTCTTCCTTTTTGAAGCCCTATTTCAGATATAGTAGAATGAACACTAACAGCTTTTGATACTTCTTCACAATATCTTGAGTGCCGTGACCAGTGATGTCTTCCTTCAAAAGCAATGAGAATATTCACAACACTGTCGGAGAATAACATCTTGCTTTGGAGAATTCATAGTTTTATTTGAAAGAATGAATTTGTCTTCATTTTATACAAGTTTCGGGTTTTTTACCAAAGATCATAGGTGTAGTGTTCCAAGATAAAAAAAACTGATTTGTGCCTCCTACAAATAGTCTGCTGTAGAAAATATAAATGTGTTTGATAGTCCTGCAACAGCCTGATAACCTCCTCGTATATTTTAGCCTCTTAATGGTTTTCATGTTGTATAATGTCTTTTCCCCTTTTTCCCTCCATTATCTCACTTTTGGAGAAAGGTTAACTATTTAATTCAATTTTAATTTTGCTTCCCCATTCTTTGAGTAAGACAACTATTGGATCAGCATGCAGCCTAAAATAGAAAATAAAGGCTTAGCATAGTCTGTGGATCTGCAATAAAATTTTCTTTGCCAGGAAAAAAAAAACTTTTACAAAGGAGTGAGAGGGTACTTTAAAGACCAACACCAGCCGATAAATATTAGTCAATGCTGGAAACACATAAACTACTGTAATTCATCTCCATATTATTTCCTTCAGTGGAAAGATGGGTTTTCTGGTTAATGAAATGTTCCTTAAAAAAGAAGATTCCACATTTTAATGAAAATACTGTGCAAATTTCAGAATACGTTTAGAGACTAATGTAGTGAACTTCCATGAATTACAATTCACTCAATTACATGTTTTCATAGCATAATTGCAATGACCATAGCAGAGCTGTAAATAGAGAAAGATCGTATTATCATGGCCCAAGTCCAGTAACTTAAAATTCCACAGAAAAACTAAGAAGGTCAAAAAGATACATAGTAAAGCAGTAAAGTTGAGACAACCAAAATTATCTACAACTGTTTTGACTGCCCCTGAGCCATAAGGGCATCCACAGACAATACAGGAAGCTG